CACAACACTGAGTGAAAAAGAAGAGAAAAGGGATGGAGCCGTAAGTGACATTTCTTCGTCTCTACTTCCTGCTTTGACTAGAAAGTGGTGCTGATCCGTGTGAACCGTTTTACCTTCTGTAGGCGTGTACTAAAATGTTCAGATAGTAAAATTGCTCCTTACGCATGGTGCGCCTGTTAACGATGCTGCTGCAGTAGCGGAAAAGATTACCGTCCAAAGTGGCGCAATTTCAACCAGATTACTGTGTGTCATGGCTGAGCAGAGACTGTGAAAACTTAATTTGGCGCAGACAAAATGCAGTTAATTTACGGTCGGGAGCGAGGTCTCAGACCGCCGACGCTGAGTGTGACCCCGCAGCGGTTGTCGGCGACACTGATGATTGACTGCGGCCGGACAGGGGTCACGTGTAACGTCAGACAGCCCAGATACGGGCCATTCCTATTACGTAGCAGTAACAGCAGACATGCAATTAACATGAAGTTATACATTATGCTTTATTCTTCCAAAAGTACCATTAGCCCTCATGTGGATTGAACAAAATTAAGTACATCAATTTTAGTTCTAATGAATATGAATACGATGAAAATCCTTCCTGAATGAGATGTGAGGTTCTCAAAATTATTTCTTAAATTAGAAAACCAAGCCTGCACGCAGCACGTGACAACAAACAGTCAGAGGCAAGACAGAAGCGACAGTTTTACGATTTTTCACCAAATTCACCGAATGTTTCATTTTTAAATATTCAAAATGTGAATCAGGCATATTAAAGTACAGCCGTTAGGCACTAATGACTGTTATCTGGTTTGGTGTCGCAGTGTCTTGCTAGGTTGGTTTACAGGGTACAGCATGAATATTGATTTTTACAGGTATGTAGTGCTACAATAAGCATTCAGGCATCCAGTGCCACATTTCACGAGATACTCTACCCTCCCCTTCCTCATAGCTGCCTAGAGGGACTATTTAAGATAGACAAGGTTCCATGGAATTTAAGCACTTGCAGTTCAAATCATTTTGTTCGCTGGAGTACTCTCGCGGTCATCACGAACGAATGTTAATAAAATGCGCCGTTTCAATTAGGATAGCCGCTGAATACAGTATTCATTGTATACAGCGGCAAAATAACTGCCGTGTGATAAAACACCGGAAACTTTTCATACAGCAAAATTAACAACAATGTTATCGCGTATGAGATAAATTTTTCGTCCAAAAATTCTTCTTCGATTATTAATAATTCTTTGCATGCTAGACAACGAGCTGGAGCATATCCCTGCAAATGGTGCCTTTGCATAAAACGTTACCAACATCTCGACAAGGTTATTAAGGTTGTAATTAATTATCTGCCCTACTGACTGGAGAAGAGCTTAGAACATTTACAGACGATTCAGAGGAAATGTTCCTCTTATTAAAATGACCTATTCGTGACCTCAGCAGATGACTTCTTAAATTCCGCGGTAAATAGAAAACAGATTAAGCTTCAATGATGGACAGCCTAGTTGTTTATGAAAAGACTAACTCTACAGTAATCTTTTGGTTTCTTGAATTTTCTTTTGGTGTCAATAACTATTGCAATGAAAGAATTCAATTCTAAGAAAATTCGTACTGAACTCTCTTGACATAGAATCTTCATGAATTTTCTAGAATCTTTCATCGAAAACATTCATTTCTCATGTTACCCGGGTAATTTCACAGAAATTGCGTGGATTTTGTATATATTTATAATTTGACCGCTAATTTCTTCAAGCAGGCCGTAATGCCTTATGTGATACTGATATGTTGTGCTTGTAGTCTTCTCTGACAACCTTCAAAAAAATTTCATCATGCCAAATCACTCCTAATATGTTTGTGTTTTCTGCAGTGACACCTAACTTCATAAACTATTGGTGGACACTATGGTTGAAGTCATTATTGCGTCATCATTTATATGGCCATGGCAATACTTGACGACGGACTCCATTTTTCGCTTATGATTTTCATTCAATTCTTATCTGTAAACTAAAGAATACAATTGATCGACATAAGACATAAGTATATCCGCCCAAACAAAGTTTGGCACTCGACGATTTCATTTTGTCAACTGCAGAATGTGTTCAAACATGAAAAGTATCTGATCTTACTAGTTAATCCAGTTGTACAATTTATACGTTACATTAATATATTTAATCACTAAGAACCCATAAAAACCCAAATTTATGCTTTTGAATATCAACAAACTGCTCTGGGTGACTTCTTATAAAAAAACAGTGCCGCATTAGGGCAACATTACGTAACACTACAATAATTTTCTGATACTTTTATAATCGAAACTCTCTCCTTTTGTATATAAGCGTTAAAACTAGAAAAATTTTTTCTATGATAACATGGAATAAAGCTTCATCAATTAATTTCTTTTCTCAATCAATTCGCATTGCTTCATGGCATCAATCTTTAGATCATGCAGTTTTAAGAGAGAATTTAAATAGGCAATGATTATTGGTTACCGGAACACCTGTCGGACGTCGATGCAATTCTCACAGTTTCTACTGGTTAGTATAGATTCTAATTGACATTTAATGATGGTTATAATGCCAGTATTCCCTATATTCGCCTATAGATTTATTACCGTGAAAATCATTAAGCTCTGGCGTTGGTATTCATGAGAAAAACAAAAATAGTTGATAAATGTAAGCAACATTATGCTGCTTGAATCGATTAAGTCTGACTAAAGATTTAGATTAGCAAATTCATGTTGTAACTAACACATTTCTGTTAGACTGAAATGACTATGGTGAGGACACCGATAATCCGGAGAGCTTGAGTTGTTGTACCCTTATTCAAAAAGCATACTTTAAAGATTGCTTTAAATATCGAAGCATTATCTTATTAAGTTTCCAAACAAAAGTAGACGCAAAGGTGTTAAAACGACGTGCCGTGAAATGATCGACTCAAAAACCTGAAAATTGTAGTGTGGTTTCGTGTCAGGCCAATGCACTTCTTACCAGATCATCGCCTTATTCCAGACTGTTTACAATTAGTAGTAGTTCGTTCACCCGGTTTACATGTGTTTTATTGACCTTGAGCAATCTCTGACCGGATCCCGTGCAACAAGTCATAGGCATGCTTGCAGTCGTATGGAATAGACGGTTAGTTCCTACTAGCTATCCAATCAACACACGTCAACTGCAGGTGTTGCGAAAAAGTAGTCAGAATAAATGGCGCTAAGTTAAAATCTTTTAAAGTTGATGATTGTCCTGCTAAGGGTACGTTCATCCTTTTTTCCTGTGCTGTACATGGATACTATAGCCAGAAGCAACCAGGAAAACGATTCAGCATCGAGAGAATGGGGATTAGAAGTTTGCTGTTGGCAGACAACCTCATTTTGTTGGCATCTCTTAAAACTGATATCTAGGGCTGCAGGATGATTTAAAGCAAGTATCTCAATAGACTTTGCTCCAGATTCTGGTTGCCTTCTACTGAAGCGCTAATGCTGGCACAGAATATGGAAAGTTGAGGGCATTATTTGACGTATCCGTCTCTGCCGCAATTCAAAAGGATAAAGGGTTATCGAAACTGGCTGCCTCGCTGACCCGACTTGCTT